TGTTAGATATAGGGTAGTTTGGTATATATAAGAGGGGGAAAACTTGACGGGGCAAGGTCATGTAGTGTGTGGGTAGATAGTGAGTAATTGAACTGCAGTAAGAGAGCACGAAAGACGTTACAGCGTTTGTTTAGCGCGATTGTTGAAGTTGAGTGTATTGGTAAAGTTATATTCGGAAATAATAAACCAGTTTTATTAAGAAAGAACTTGTGTCGCTTAAGTTTCGTCGGAACGAAGTTACGGAAAGTTAATTAACAAACGGAGACGTAACAACTATCTGTCCTATGGTATCTAGTGGTGAGTATAAAACTTTACAATTACCATACAAAAAAGTTTCTGTGTTAATTAATGATCGGTTTTTCTAAGAATTTTTGTCAAATAATTGTAATGAAACTGTATTTTTATGAACAACAACAACGTTAAACTGTCGCAGCCTCCTTTCCGTGACAGAAAATAAACATTTAAGTTCCAGGTGGGGAAAGATCTACAGGAAATAGGATTTTACCAAATGTACATATTTCTACGTAACTAGTTGTACATAAACTTGGGGAACCCGTGAGAGGCTATTTATATTTTCTGTCTTACTCCCTTTCCTGTTTCAATGAACACAAGCATGCTCATGTTGCACAAGCGATAAATATAGCTCTGTGTAAGGTCGATTTCTGAAAATATATACAAAAGTATGTGTATTTCAAACTTAGAAAACTTTATAACTGATATAACATATTTCGGCACAGGTAGGTTTATAGATAAAACTGAAATGTGAGAGTTTCTCCGTTTATTCCTTGAAACGTCCGTCCTATCCAGTTTCATTTCTTGAAACGTTCGTCCTGTCCAGTTTCTTTCTGAGCGTAGATTTGAACAGTTCAAATTGGCTCCCCCTCTCTGTAACGCATCGGTGAGTCAGAGGGCTAATGATATTGAAAATAGGGTTTCGATACTCGCGGTTGGAACAGCGCTGATTGTCCATTGTGTAGTTTTGTGCTTAATAACAAATAGTTGCAACTGCTACTTATGTAAATCAATCTTGTAGTTTTCATACGAGATTTTTCATAAACGTAATACATAAGAATTATTATTACCCTCTAATATATTATTCTGAAGAGTAAGTGTCAAATCCAAAGAGTCTAGAAATTGCTTAAGAAATTTAAAAATGTTGATATGTGGTTGGTGAATATAATTATTATTATTATAAGTTTAGTAGACTATAGTTACCCAAATATTTTGAACGGCCAGAAAAACATAAACAATATTTTTAAAGCTTCCACGGTATCTATAAATATGCGTTATTCATACATAAATTGTAATGAACTTCTTGAATGTTTCTATGATGTGGTGTTCATGTTTGCATCAACAGATGACACGACGCACGATCCTTCGATTGTTTCTTTGTTTGTAGTTAAGCACAAAGCTACACAATGGGCTATCTGTGCTCTGCCTCCACCAGGGGTATCGAAACCCGGTTACTAGCGTTGTTAGTCCGCAGCCATGCTGCTGTGCCACAAGGGGGCGATCCTTCGAAGAAAAAAGCGAAAAAAGACGATTAAAACTGCTTTGTACAAAAATTGTATAATAATATAGTTTTATGATGTTCCTCTTTTGTTTAGAGCTTGAAAATTTTCATTCTACTTATTTGTTCTTTATATAAGATACAATTACAATACATAATGGTAAAATGCTATTTAAAACCATATAATTAAATTTTTAATATTTGTATTGTTTCAGTGTATATATAATCAGATTGAATAGTGAACTTATTTACTTTGACTACTGTGAACATATAAGTGAAATATGTAATAATACTAATATATTTGATTAATGTGTGAATAAATTGAGAAAAAGCGTTCATAATACATTTTTAAAACATTAAACTCTCACGAAAAAGGTTTTAAAGTTGTTCGTTTATTTTTTCCAAACTTTTCTTGGCTGAAAAAATGCTTTGTTTGTTTATAATTAAGCACAAAGCTACACAATGGACTATCTGTGCTCTGCCCACCACAGGTATCGAAACACGGTTTCTAATGTTGTAAGTCCGCAGACATGCCGCTGTGCCACTGAGGGGCGAGAAAATGCAGTTGCGGCAATAGACGTAAAAAGTCTCACTTTCTTCTTGATGTAAAAGTTAATTGAAACCGTGGAAGCTTTAAAAATATTGTTTATGTTTTTCTGGCCGTTCAAAATACTTGTAAAGTACACAATATTTTAAAGCGTATATATGTATATTGGACATAATGGTTCTGCGATATTAAATAATTACAATTCCAAAATAAAGTTCTTGGGAAATATAAAATACACTCTTTATATCTGTTTCGTTTTAAGTGAATTTTATAAATTAAATGTTTGTTTTTCTTTTCTTTCTTCTTATCATTCTAATATTTTTGTACTTTTAGATGTTTCTACATTAAATGTTACAAATTAACACTTTCGTTTACTAACATTTAAACACTAGAGGACACTATAGTTTCTTATTTCTTTCGTGGTAAGCCTAATTGTCATGTGGTGTATGATGCAGTAAATCGGCAATATATACTAAGATTACAAGAAGTGTTAAGCTATATATATATATATATATATATATATATA